AACTGGAAAGGAGTGAGATGTAGGAAGCGTCGGTGAGTAACAAACACGGGTGAAGATAAACTCAGTGACCATATAAAATAGTGACGGTATTAACTGATTTGCTGAGTAACACGCAGCAGGCAGGACTAAAACACTGTGTCAGATGCATGGGCCAAGGGTAAGGCATCATAAGGACCTTGCATTGTTCAAAGGTAAAGATACTGGCTAACCCTAAACTTTAATTACAAAAGAACAAAAACAGAATTCAAAACTTTCAAACTAGGAGAGGGAGGAGAAGAATAAAGAAGGCTTGAGGTAGAAAAGAAGAAAAAAGGAAGCATACAAATAAAAAACAGAAAATAAGGTGAGAAAAATAAATGCAAATACATCAGTCAACATAATAAATGAAAACGAATCCAATCCAATAGTTACAAGGGATTATCAGGTCGGATTAAAAAAATCTAGTTTATGTTGGTTCTAAAATACTAACCTAAGGACAAAGTCTGCATGTATGAGGAGAGAAACAGGTAAGCTAGGAAAATATGAAAAGAAATCTGGGCTGGGCATGGTGGCTCACACCTGTAATCCCAGCACTTTGGAAGACTGAGGTGGGTGGATCACTCAAGGTTAGGAGTTCGAGACAAGCCTTGCCAACATGGAGAAACCCCATCTCTACTAAAAAATACAAAAAAATAGCTGGGTGTGGTGGCGGGGACCTGTAATCCCAGCTACTTGGGAGGCTGAGGAGAATCACTTGAACCTGGGAAACAGAGCAGAGGTTGCAGTGAGCTGAGATCATGCCACTGCACTTCAGCCTGGGCATCAACAGTGAAACTCCATCTCAAAAAAAGAAATGTTGGAGGACAATAAAATCAGATAAAATATAGATGGGGAAGAACAGTGGAGATAAAGAGAATTCTTATATAATGATAATTAGAAAAAATTATCCAGAAAATTTTAGAATATATGCACCTAATAACACGGCCGCAGGACATCCAAATACAAACAGAATTAGGAAGCTTGATCTGTAATTAACATACACAGATTCAGACCTCTGTACCCAATAAGAGAATAGTCACCGTTCCAAGCACACAGGGAATATTTACAAAAACTGACCTGTACCAGGTCACAAAGCAAATCTGAACCAGTGTCAGAGATCAAAATCATACAGTCCATATTCTATGACCACAAATGCAAATAAAATAGAAACCAGCAACCAAAAGTCACCAGAAAAGACCACTGTGGCTGCTGGGTAGAGAATGGGTAGTATGCAGGGCACAATGGAAGCAGCTCAGTCCCAGGAATGGGTGGAGGGAGATGGAAAGGACAAGGGTGAGAACAGCATTATGGAAAAAAGTGATGACCAGGTTGTTTGACAAGGGTGAGAAGAGCATGATGGGAGAAAGTGACTGAGCAGGCTGTTTGACGAGGGTGAGAAGGGCATGATGGGAGAAAATGACTGAGCAGGCTGTTTGACGAGGGTGAGAAGAGCATGATGGGAGAAAATGACTGAGCAGGCTGTTTGACGAGGGTGAGAAGAGCATGATGGGAGAAAATGACTGAGCAGGCTGTTTGACAAGGGTGAGAAGGGCATGATGGGAGAAAATGACTGAGCAGGCTGTTTGACAAGGGTGAGAAGGGCATGATGGGAGAAAGTGACTGACCAGGTAGTTTGGTCAGGTGAAGCCAGCACCCAGCACAGTGCCAGGGACCTAGGGATTGCTAGGTTTCTTTTTTTTGTGGGGGGATGGAGTTTCACTCGTTGCCCAGGCTGGAGTGCAATGATCTTGGCTCACTGCAACTTCCGCCTGCCGGGTTCAATCAATTCTCCAGTTTCAGCCTCCTGAGTCGCTGGGATTACAGGCACCCGCCACTACGCTTGCCTAATTTTTGGTATTTTCAGTAGAGACAGGGTTTCACCATGTTGGCCAGGCTAGTCTCAAACTCCTGACCTCAGGTGATCTGCGCACCTTGGCCTCCAAAAGTGCTAAGATTACAGCCATGAGCCACCGCACCTGGCCCAGGTTTCTTTTTAAAAAAAGAGAGCGAGATGCTAAATAAATGCTAGTTGAATGTGTTGGAATGAGTTGAAGCTCTAACCACACAGTGGGTTCCCATGACCTGATGATGAAAACCTCACCCGTTTATTGCCAGGTCAGTCAGCTCCAGGCCTATCCACCTGCTAAAATCTACACATCTCACATTCCTGCCCTGTGGCTCATTATTTTGTAAACATTTTAATAAAATGTCTAATATAGGACTATAATAGGTTTCATACCTGTTACCTCATTTAATTCACCCCAAACCCTGTAAATTCACTCCAGTGAACTACACTGCTACAGACAAGGAAACAGGTAGGGCTCAGAGAGGTGAAGTAACTTACATGAAGGTCATTCATCTTGTAGGCTACGTAGACGCTCATATCCCTCACTGCCTTTTCTTGCCCCCTTACAGAAGCAGTATACTGTCTTGGTTTAGGGATTAAGGATACGAATTTAATGTGACTCATCAGCTGTGAGTCCTTGTGCAAATAATTCAACTCTTTCACACCTCAGTTTGTCCACATATAAAATGAGGGACGATGATCATACAGCAGCTGCCACGAAGAGCAGTTAGCAACACTAAATGGGGTAATATACATAGGAAGTGCTTAGAAGAGAGCTAGACACAGGTAAACTTCCCACAAATATTACTTGTTCAGCAATATTTACATATTTAAAGAATCAGTTGCTGGGCGTGGTGGCTCACGCCTGTAATCCTAGCACTTTGGGAGGCTGAGGCAGGCAGATGGTTTTAGGTGAGAAGTTCAAGACCAACCTGGCCAACATGGCAAAACCCTGTCTCTACTAAAAATATAAAAATTAGCCAGGACTGGTGGTACAAGCCTGGAGTCCCAGCTACTCGGGAGGCTGAGGCAGAAGAATCGCTTCAACCTGGGAGGCAAAGGTTGCAGTGAGCAACCAGAGGCCGGGCGCAGTGACGCACACCTGTACTCCCAGCACTTTGGGAGACTAAGGCGGGCAGATCACCTGAGGTCAGCAGTTTGAGGCTGGCCTAGCCAACATGGCAAAACCCCATCTCTACCAAAAAATACAAAAATTGGCAGGTGTGGGGGTGGGAGCCAGTAATCCCAGCTACTTGGGAGACTGAAGCAGGAGAATCGCTTGAACCTGGGAGGCAGAGACTGCAGTGCGCCAAGATCAGCTCACTGCACTCCAGCCTGACAGCGAGACTTTTTTTTTCCCCCTCAAAAAAAAGGACAGAAAAGTGGGAAGGTGCAACAGACTGTCTTCCAGTTGAAAATGCAGATATTACAGTTACATTCACTAAATGTTCACCTACAGATGAACATCTCCTGATTTGTCTGTCTCAAGGCATTCAGACAGCCACAGATTCTGGAGTATCTCTAGAAGCCTGTTACTGGCCCATATCTTGACCATCTCATCTCAAGCAGGGTTTCTCAACCAAGGCACCACTTGAATTTTAAACTGGGGAATTCTTTGTCAAGGGTCTGTCTTGCATGCACTGCAAAAAGTTTAGTAGTATCCCTGGCATCTATCCACAAGATACCAGTAGCAACACTCAACTCCCTGCCATCCCAAGTTGTGACAAGCAAAAATGTCTCCAGATTGAGCCAAATATCCTCAGGGACAAAATCACCCCTAGATGAGAACCACAGCTCTGGTTTTCAGAGCTGACTTTTCCAATGGGATGCAAAACAGACCCTCTGTCCCAAGTTCTAGTGGCCTTAATATGATCGCCTGGGGCAGGCATCCAGTGGAGGATGAGGAAAATAGATCCCATAGGCTTCACACAGCCCACCTTAGTCCCACACGTGGTGCATGCAGATAAGCTGGAAGGCAGAATACACAGAGGCCATTTCAGTCTTGGCTGATATAAAGAAGCTACAGGGAAATCTGAGTGGGTACTTAAAAGGCTCTGCCTCCAGAAACCAACTGCTGTAACATTTGTAATGGGCAGATCGTTTACACGGAGACTTCGCCTTCAATTCACCAAGTGTTCAATGTCCGTTAATATTCCCAAGGGGCAGGGTTGGCCCTCTTCCATCTTCAAGATGATTCAGGTTTCCTGGTGAGCAAAATGAGCCTCTAATGCCTAATATTTTCTCTCTGACAGATGTTTTCAGATGTATCAAAGTGCCAATCCTTGCTGAGGTATAGGTCTCAAGGAAGGAGAGTTTGGCTTTTATAATGATACGAGTGGAATGATTAAGAAGGAAAATTACTCCCAGGAGATTCACCATTACCATGTGAGCAGCCGGCTTAAAACGAAGGAAGCCAGCAGAATTAGAAACACGATTTGAGGGAAAAGGAGAGAAAAAAATCTAAAATCCCAGGTTAACAGTTTGGGTTTGAAAAGGTCCCACTCAAAAAACATCTCTGGGAGTGGAAATGAAGTGCAATAAAAGCACCTTTCCACCCACGATAATCAGGGTTCCATCTGCCTCCCCCATCACCATTCCCAGCCTGCGTGCTCACAGGAGACTCTGGACAGAGGCCTGGGGTGGTACATATTTGTCTTGCCACTTACTTGCTGTGTGACCTTGGGCACGTTATAAAACCTCTGAGCCTCAGTGCCCTCGTTTGTAAAATGGGTATGTTTTACATATATACTTCAAGGTGAGCTTGTGCAAATCAAACGATCCAAAGTATGCCTAACCTGATGTATAATAGGCAGTCAGTGAATTTTAACTGTAACTATGAACTAGTACTTAGCGTCGACTTATGTGTGGACTGCTTTCATATACATGACCACCTGAGTCTCACAGGAGGCTCGGCATTTTATTACAAATGATGTAGTTACGAACATTAATAGATGAGGATGCTGAGGTCCTAGAGGTTGAGCAACTTGTCCACGGTCACAAAGCTACACACGGCGGGATTCGAACCCATACTCTCCCTGACCCTCGTCCAGGTTCTTTCCACGACACCACGTGGAACTCACGGAGAGGGATGTGTGTTGGGGGGTCAGGTCACCGCGCGGGGTCAGAGGTCACTCACTGTACTCCTCCAATCTCGTTAGGGGCCGGAAGTAGATGGGATAGAAGGCGGCGCCGATCAGGGAGATGAAGCCACCGAAAATGAGCGCGGTGCGCAGGTTCCGGGACATGGCGCCGGGCCTGGGGCTGCCCTGACCCGCCGACCGCCCCACACTCTCGGAAACCTGGCTACCAACAGTCGGGCTGTGACCCCACTCGGAAGAGGCGGAGCGGCTTTCGCTTCCGGGCCTTGGGGGAGGGACGAGGAGGAGGGGCGGGGCGAGAGGCAGGGGTGGAGTCGGAGGCGGGACCTCAGTGCTGGGCTGGGCGGGGCCAGGGGAGGGGTGGGGTCACAGATAGGGACCTGGACCCCGCCCTCCGCCTTCCTCGCGCTCCGGCGCTGCGCGGGCCGGACGCAGCATGTGAAGTGAGGCTGGAGCTGTTTGGCTGCGCTCACTTCCCGCGGGCCCCATTCTGTCTGCTTCCCTTCCTTCGACCTGGCTCCCCCCTCAGCACCTCCACGCAGCACCCTCCAGACCTCCTTTATTATCTCTTTCTTCACCAGCCAGCTTTCTCGTCCTTCCCTCGTTAATTTCTGATGTAGCGACTGCCCGCCATGCGCCAGATGCCCTCTGTGGCTCGCGCAGTTAAGCCTTCTGTCAGTCGGCTTTTTTTACCGGAGAGGGAACTGCGGCTTTGGACTAGTCGCTTGTCCTTCTTGAGGGAGGTTTGTGCATATGAGAGACAAAGTAGCAAATCTCTGGCCCAAGAGGGCCTGCTGGGGGATTCTAAAACCGGAGCCACGGGGCTTCTGCACCAAAACTAGCCGAAGAAGAACGTTGTTTCAGCATCCGAGAGTGTATCTTTCCTGACTCTCTTTTTGCATCCATCCTCCCTCCCTGTTCCCGGTGCTGGGATGTCGGGGTTATGAATGATTAGACAGTGATCAGGCCAAGGCAGAAAGCCATCGTCCAGTCCCTTCCATGGGGCCACGGGCTCTGCTGTCGTGTCTGGGTGGGAGCCACTGAGGACAGATACCTGTTAACTCTTCCTCAGGTTACCATCCTCCACCCTCTGCACTTCACTGCCTTACAGAGGGCCTGTGCCCGAATGTGACCTTCCCAGGGAGACTGGGCAGCTGGGACAGAGATTCTTTGGGCCTCCACGCCTTTATCAATAGGAATTATGCCGGCAGCTGGGCCTGGGGAGCAAAGAGGAAATCTATCTTGACCCCAGCAGCATTATTTAGTCCACACAGATTTACAAGCGTTTCAAAATAGTTTGAAGAGCACGGGTTTCCTCTTTCTTTGTAATCTTGTAGTTACATCAAGCTACCGTCTACCTCTGTGGCTCCACAAGCATGTAAATCAGTTATTCAATCTCTCCCCAGATTCGTAGACTATCTGCCATGCCCCAAACACCAGGCAGAGTGCTAAGGGTACACAAAGATAAATAAGATGTGACCCCTGCTCTCCAGGATCCTGTTACATAGACAAAGAGCTAGAACATGTCCATAGAAAGATAGCTAATGACCAACATGGCCTCTTGCCGACAGGTGTTTTGGTCCTGCGGGCTACAGAAGTTCAGAAGAGGAAGACAGATGAACTTCTGTGCAGTGAGGCAGCTGCTCCTCGGGCACTTACAGCAGCTTATTAGGGTGAGGACAGAAGACTTCATAGCACAGAGGGAACCTGTGACACCAGCTTTATATCACACGATGGTAAATACCCAGGGGAGGACCAGGCACAGTGGCTCACGCCTGTAATCCTAGCACTTTGAGAGGCTGAGGCAGGTGGATCCTGAGTTCAGGAATTTGAGACCAGCCTGGCCGATGTGGTGAAATCCCGTCTGTACTAAAAATACAAAAAAATTAGCCAGGCGTGCTGGTGTGCTACTGTAGTCCCAGCTACTCAGGAGGCTGAGGCAGGAGAATACCTGGAACCCAGGAGGTGGAGGTCACACCACTGCACTCCAGCCTGGGTGACAGAGTGAGACTCTGTCCCAAAAGAAAAGAAAAGAAAAGAAAATACCCAGGTCAGGTGTAGTGGGCATCTGCCATTTTAGCAGCCCAGCAGCCACTTCCCTTTTTACTGTGAATAGTACCCCAAATATCTTTCTGGTACTCACTCCTTTCTCACTCTTGGCCCATGAGAGAAACTAGGGCTCCCCGCTCTCATCCTCCTTCTTCCCAGCTCTGAGAGTTAAGCATAAGGGCCTGACCAAGTTTCCTTGTCACAGGGCTGGTTAGTACCCAGGACTCAGTCTTGAGGTTAGTATTGATTAGGAATCAGTCCTGAGCAGCCAATGTAGTTGCATCTTCCTGGCCACGTGATCCAAGCTCAGCCAACCATCCTCTATCCCTGCTACTGGAAAGTTGGATTTGAACTTGAGCGAATGAGGCTCCAGCTACTGGGGAACATCATTTAGGGATTGAGAAGGAAGTCAGTACAGCAGAAGGAGGGCTGAGAGATGGGGAGAAACCAGATGCTAATGTTGCATTTGCGTCAGCTGTATCTCAAAGGAAGTCTACCCCTACCTAGACTGCTCAGTAACATCAGCCAATAGAGTGCTCCTTTCTCTGAAGCCAGTTTGAGTTGGGTTCTGTCTTTTACAACAGGAGTTCCAGATGAAATCTCTGAGGATGTGATTCCACCTGTATAACACCTCCCTGAGCTGCAAGGCAAGGATTACACTATTTTATTTTATTTTTATTTGATTTTATTTTTTTGAGACGGTGTCTCAGTCTGTTGCCCAGGCTGGAGTGCAGTGGCGCGATCTTGGCTCACTGCAGCTTCTGACTCTCTGGTTCAAGTGATTCTCCTGCCTCAGTCTCCTGAGTAAATGGGATTACAGGCATGTGCCACCACGCCCAGCTAATCTTTTGTATTTTTAGTAGAGACGGGTTTTCTCCATGTTGGCCAGGATGGTCTCGATCCCCTGACCTCATGATCCACCCATCTTGGCCTCCCAAAGTTCTGGGATTATACATGTGAGCCACCGCACTCGGCCAAGGATTACTCAATTTTATAGTTGTGGTCACTGACAACCAGAAACCAGAACTCTCTTGAGGTCACACAGCATTAGCCAACGTCTTGGCTCTTGTGATGTCTGACCCGAAATGCCCCTCCATGAGATCTTGCTGTCTCCATGAGCAAGCTTGGCAGGATGGCCAGCCAGACCCTGCCCATGGGCACCTGCAAGCCGGTAAGGAGGGTTGTCAGGAGAATAGGGCATCCTGGTGAGGTACCAGGAGTGCCTCTAAGGCAGGGACAGGCCCATTGTGGTAGATGAGCCACTCCCTCTCCAAGGTGATGTGTCAAGTGACTCTTGGTTTCTCTTGTCCCCTTCATGCTGATATAAAGGCATTAGTTGACCAGCAGAAATGATTAGCCTGCCTAGATCATTTGTATAGATAACTGACATCAACACCCCAGAAACACAGTTACCTATCACTGACTGGCCACCGAGTCCTGCCAAATGCAAGCTCATCTCCTTGATTCCAGTGTTTTCCCTATTTCTGAGAAAACCACACTCCTCCAGTTTTTCTTTTCCCACTGACTTATCAATTAAATCAGCAAATACTTATTGCGTGCCTGCTCCCATGCAAAACATTGTACAGTTGATTGGGAACACAGAAGGAACCATTCAGTATTCGTGAATTCAGTAATGGCTCATTGAGCAAGGCACAACATGCCAGACACTTTCAGGTGCTGGTGAACACAGCAGTGAGGAAAACAGCAGAATCCATTGTCCTCATGGTGTCCACAGTCTGGCGGAGGGATAAGACGTAGCAGAGGATAGTAATTGGTTTTTGGCCACCCAGTTTCCCGTAATAAAAGCTCCCGATATCTTTTGGAGAATGACCTCTCATCTTGGCATTTTTGGATGGACTGCAATTTCAGGGGCCCTGTGTATTCCTAATCAATACTAACATCAAGATTTGTAGAACATTTGCCCTCTGTAGTCAGTATCACAGGTTTGCTCATTTAGTGCTCAGCAAGACCTGTGGATAGGTATTCCCATATTCTGAGAGGGAAGCTGGACCTACTGAGAATGACTTGGTCACATGGCTGGTAAATGGCAGAGCCAGGATTCAAACCCAACCTGGCTAATTCCAAATACTGCTCTTAACCACCAATCTACAATGCTTTGCAATGTCATGGAGCTTGTGTTGCCTGGGTGTGGGGGTGAGGCAACAGGATCATTTCGGTCCAGTTGTTCTTTTTCTCCCAGAAATAAGGACCATGAAAATAGTGACGCAAAGACAGACAGCGTTGTTGCAGTCGCTGCCTTCCAATGCTAATGTTCTGATGTGATTATTGTGTACCTCCCACTTGCCTGTAACCCTGGAGCTTCCCTGGTTGTTTCCCCTTGCAGTCTGATTCTTGAATGTTCATTATATTCCGCAGGCCACCCCATATGCCTCCAACAAACTCCCTTTGGACTTAAGTTAGAGTCAGTTTCAATGGCATGCCACCAGGAGTGCTAATAGATACAGAAATTAACACAATTACCTCCTACACATGGCATGGATGAAAGCACTTGGGGCGTCATCACTGTGCTAATGTTTGGGAAAGCTAAAGGCAGTTTGAGTTTGGGCGAACATACTTGTACAAAAGGAGAGAGAGATCCAGGGATGTAAGGAGACAGAATGTAAGTCAGATATGTCGGCAGTCCTAGTGTGCATATTTTCATCTCAGTCACTGGGGAAAAAAATTGGGTTGTGCCCCTCTCTGGCACTTTCTCCTTCTTCCCTTGGATGTGAAGATTGAATGCTTGCAGGGAGCAGACCGCCAGTGGTGTATCACACAGGGTTCAGACAGACATCAAAGTTAATCCGCTCTCTGATCTAAGCAAAATGATGATGAGGGTTTCCTGGGACAGCAGCTTTACTAATTGTGGCACTGCAGCCCGACGAATGTATTTTTAGAATGTTGTGGATTCCCAAGAAGTAACATTACTGGCTGTAGAAAAACAGACTCGAAGCTTGGGGCTTGGAACAGAGTTGGATCTCATGCAGAACCTCTGGGTTGGTACTGCTGAGAATAAGAGTTAAGTGGGGAAAATGCTTCTCTGTTTTTATGGGGTTCTGTGATTTACTGAGTCCCTACCCATCTGTATAAGTATATTCAGGATTTTCTTCTTTGTTCAGCTCTTTCCATGTAAGAGATTTCCCCCAAATAATCTCTTGCTATGCTCTGTACCCCATAATTTTAACTCATGTCTTTATAACTTCCAGACTGTTTGCTTTGCTGAACTCCAGCAGCATCACTTG